TGTTACAAAAAAAGAACTAAACAAAATGAACACAAAACGATCAGCTTTAAAAAAGGACTCGTAACTGGAAAAACCAAATGAAAAAAGAATGTTAACAACAAATACTTTTTCACACCCAACCCAATTCTGCGGAATTAGAATCAACGTTGAGTTTAAGCAAGCAAATGAGCCAATTGGAGTAAAGTGCCATGCAGATTTAAATTTTTCCCACTTGTGCCGAATACAGCTATCGATTTATTTTTGCATCCTAGCATGCTAGTTAACATTCGTGTCAGTCATGTGTTGGCTCTCACGCTGTCCAATAGAATCTTCCTGCCTATTCGTGGCAGCCAGCTATAGGCTCCCACTCAGGCCAGTAGAAAATGGCCGCAAACTAAATGGAAACTGCCGTAGAAGCATGAAAAAATCGATTATTTCCACTATCGATGCGAGTTGGGAAATGCAACGTCGATGTTGGTCTTCTTGCTAACTTGGAGCATGTGCGTGTAAATTTTGGCACAAATCCGTCGAAAACTGCGGTCGTGCATTCGTTGCACACACACACACACACACAAACACACACACACACACACACACACACACACAATCATCCTGCCTTTTATAGATAGAGATCTGTAAATATATAGGAAGATGGGGCGTCAATATTCAAAGCGTGGACGGATAGTAGATTATATTATTATAGATATGTAAGATAGATTCTGGTGAGAAAAATTGTCTATAACATTGTTTGATATAGCTTATGAAGGATTCCGTGCGTGACCTGTGTGATAATAGAAAGTAACATGGCCCTTTGAATCAAATAAACCGTTTCATTCGACTAAACCTTGCTCTGTCTACCAAACTATGACATTCAACATCTTCTATGAAGTACAGTCAACGTCACTTGTTTATTGGCGGTGTCGGCAACCTACGGCATGCAACCTATGACAATTTCCAATGCCACGCAGCCAAAATGACACCACGAAGTCCGAACCAATAACTACTACAATACAAAGAAGAGATTTAGCAGTTTCAATTTTAATATATACTAAAGTATTTTAAGACATTTGATACACCATGAGCAGATATGAATGTACGTGAGAGATTCATAGAAGATTGAAGTTCAAATACAGTAAATTCGACCTGGCTAACCGAATGCTCCTCTGTGGCCAAATCGGTTAAGGCACGTCAAGCTAAATATAGGATACAGGTTCGAATCCTGTCGGAGGACGAATATTTTCTGTGAAAACTTCTAGGCCATACAGGCCTGTAAATGTTGTTTAATACTGTTTATTATAAACAGAGCATTTCCTTAAATATTTGTATCTATAAAAAGAATCTACAAACATAAAAATGTCTTAAAATAATTGTCGGTCTTTGTCCGTTTTATAATGTGTGACGTCATTTGTTTACATTTGGATACGCCATGAGCAGATATGAATGTACGTGAGAGTATCATGGAAGATTGTAGTTTAAAGACAGTAAAATCGACCTTGCTAACCCAACGCTCCTTTGTGGCCCATCTATAAAAAAGAATGTTAAACATAAAAATGTCATAAATAATTGTCGGACTTTGTCCATTTCATACTAAAGTATATATTAGGTTGGTGCAAAAATAATGACGTAATAACGTCTTTTTGACGTATTTTTAACGTCAAAAACGACTTTATTACGTCATTATTTTTGCACCAACCTATATATATTATATTAGTCGGTGCAAAAATAATGACGTAATAATGTCGTTTTTTGACGTTAAAAAATACGTCAAAAAACGACATTATTACGTCATTATTTTTGCACCAACCTAATAAAATATACAGGTATATTGATCTTGACTTATATAAAAATACATATGCTGCTGGCACATTGGATGATTTTAAGACCCTAAGTCGGCATATAGTTAGCAAAATGTTACCAAGCCCTGGTTTATTAGATTTAAACTAATGGTTGCCAGGAGACAAAGAGGGCACACCCACAACTACAATATCATCATTTAATTTTATAACGAATAAATAAAATAAAATCTGTATTACTTAATAATTACAACGTACATGTATTACACATATAACTGGCAGGGGATCAGTCAGTTATGTGCCATGCGTGATACACGCTTAGGTGATCATTTATCTTTCGATACATGACTGACGAGGCAGATTTTTTCCCCGCCATTTTTAGTTTGCCATTTCTTTCTGCGGTAGAACTCGGTGTGTCCTGCTATTTATCCACAGCTGAAGTGGGGGGGAGAAGAACAGGATGCATATCTTTCCCAAGGTTATTGGCACGTAAGTCAATGTAATAGATCCGACCGGAATTCGATCTCGGCTCTCCGATTCCTCAAACCGAGCCGCTATCCATTGCTCCACCGTGCAAGAGATACAAAAAAAAAATATAGAATATTGCAATTGTATTTCTTATTTTGTTCTCTTCAGTTCTAAGTAGTTGGCTGAAATTTTTAAATGGTCATCTGCGCAATATTTACACATTAAGAGATAGTTCAAAAGCACAGTAGAGTATTACATGAAGTTCACTGTATTAAAAGCAATCGTTTGTGTTTACGAGATGATTTTTCGAATTTACCAATAATTGCTTCTGCATCCAATTTATTTAATAATTACTTTTCAATGAATAACAACATGTGTGATTCCAGATTCTCCCCAGAAAACGAATTTCTTAACCTTGTCTTTATGAATCTGCCAGTAATTGCTTCTGCATCCACTTCATCTAACAATCCCTTTTCAGTTGGTGGCAATATGTATGCTTCAAAATCCTCGCCAGACATCGAATTTCTTAACCTTGATATTATGATCTTTAACTTTGAAAATGTCCTCTCACATTGGACATGAGTAACTTATAGTGTGCAAATGACTTTATAAAGTTCTTATTCCTTTTTATTACTAAAACAGTCGTCAGTGTTTGTTTCTTTATTGTAACTTTATTTAATATAAGAGACAATTTGTCGATACCTTGACCAGCATGCTATTGATCTAATGACTATCTTAATAGTAAAAATATCTATTTTTATTTTACTTAAAGTTTGAAATACAGTATCATACTTCTCTGTGTCTTTGTGAATAGGGTAAATAATTTCAACTTTAACAAATAGTTCAAAAGCACACTAGAGCACTGCATGTAGTCGGCCATATTAAGAACAATCGTTTGTGTTCACTGGATGATTGTTTCGAATCTGTTAATAACTTCTGCATCCAATTCGTCTAACAATTACTTTTCAATTCGTAGCAATATGTATAATTCAAAATCCTCGCCAGATAGCGAATTTCTTAACCATGTCTTTATGATCTTTAGCTTTCAAAATGTCCTCTCAAATTGGACATGAGTAACTCATAGTGTGCAGATGACTTTAAAAAGTACTTATTGTTTTTTTTTATAGAAAAAACAGTTCTTTATGTTTGCTTCCGTATTTCATTTCTTATTCCCTATTATTACTAATGTTGTAGAGTACGAATGTTTTTCTTCCTCCGTATGAATCCGAATACCTCGTCGCCAAGTGTTGTAGAGTAATTTCACAGTGGAGGCTTGTATTTCAATAAGTCGGTCCTAAAATAGGTTCGACGTACAAAACGTTAGGAACTTGATATAATAGGTAATGACGCAGAAAAATCTAGTGGTGGTCGCTGATACTTTAATATCCGACTAACGGTCGTCCGACATCGACTGACTGACCCACCGAGCGACTCAGCGACTGCTACTACTCCTACTTATTATAGATGGGAGAGTCCATTAACTACAGAACAGGTGTGTTCCACTATAACAACTAAAAGAGTTGTCTGGGTTTGTATCGGGTGTGCATTTGCCATCGGATAAGCTGACACCATGGTCAGTCCGCCTCTGGACGACGTGTCACGGATGGAAATAGAATAACTTTGGATGGATGAAATTTTCACTCGACATGTCGTGTGAACAATAACGTTTTAGTTAGATAAATATTTTTAAATCAGTGCTATTTGTTTTGCTGAACGACTCACTTTCATGACCGTCCTGCGTATGACAATAAATGACATCCAACAGCAAGATTAAAGGTATATATATATATATATATATATATATATATATATATATATATATATATATATATATATATATATATATATATATATATATATAAATAGTGAAACCCCAAGCAAAAAATCAACAGTACATTTTTTAGATTATTTACATTATTCGGACTATCTTTGTCGCCATATTTATTACGTTTCAGCCGTTGTACGCTTCGGCCTTCTTCAGGTGTTTGGAATGTCGAACTGAACCCTTTATTTCGCTCACTGGTGTAGACTATTCTAGTTCCACGTGCCATGTCTAATGGATGTCAGTTATCTCCTGTTAATTCCCCTCTCCATGTTCTCCACTGCCTTAACCAGGTATTGAACTCACGCACTTTGGGTCCTGTCACTGGATCTAACTAACGCCTTTATCCACTCTGCCATGTGTCTTTGACGGCCGAAACGTTGTGATAAATATGGCGACAAAGATGAGAACAATAGTCCGAATAATGTAAATAGTTTACATAATACCTTATCTCAGAAATATAGACAGTACATTTTTATCGTAAAAATCAACAGTACATTTTTATCGTAAAATTACCAACGATACAATTTTATTGTAAAATTACTAGCAATACATTTTTATAATAAAATAACCAACAACGTATATCTCTTGTAAAATTAAAATCCATACAACAAATAAATAAGTATAAAATTACATTTTGATTGGGCACTTCATACTTAATAAGCTGGTCTCTTTAGATCAATTACGTCTTGCGGGAGTGGTAGCACCTGTTAGGGTCCCAGCTACGAAAACACCGAAACAAAACTGAAAAACTATGAAAGTATAAGAATGCAATTTTATAGTAAAATTGCCAGCAATACATTTTTTTTTATAAAAAAAGACCAACGATACATTTTTGTAGTGAAATTACGATCAATAACATTTGGTTTAGTTTGGTTTGTTTTACAGCATATCAAACTCAATGGGTTATTTAATATCGACAAGATATTTATTTCTAGTAAATATTTTTATCTATCTATCTATCTATCTATCTACCTCAATATATATTGGTTTGTTTTGTTTTGTTTTACGGCACATCAGCCTCAATGTGTTATTTAATGCCGACAAGATTTTTATTGCCTGGTAATCTATCTATCTATCTATCTATCTATCTATCTATCTATCTATCTATCTATCTATCTATCTCAGTATATATTGGTTTAGTTTGGCTTGTTTTACGGCATATCAATCTCAATGGGCTATTTAATACCGACAAGATTTGTATTGCTGGTAAATATTTTTTTCAAAATGTATTGCTGGTAATAATTTTTTCTTCAAAAATTCATTGCTGGTAATTTTTACAAAAATGTTTTAAATGTATTAAAACCTATTTTTAAACTTTCATAGTTTGAGGTTAACAATTTGCCCACATCTGGGACCCTAACAAGTGCTTCCACCACGGGCCATGGTAGACCTGGAAACACCAGTTAAGAGGTGGTTCCACGATCCTCAAAACCTGATCAGAGGCCTTGCTGTTGGATGTAGTTTATCGTCTTACCCAGGACGTGGATGAAGTTTATCGTCATACCCAGGACCAATAACATTTTGTAAAAGCATTATCCACAATACATCTTGTCATCTAGAAACTATTATATATATTTAAAAAAAAAAAAACTTACGTTTATCCTGAAAGGATAAAATCTGTAATATCTACAGTTAAAAAATTCTGTTCAAAATATTTAGATTTTGGCATTAAATAACCCATAGAGGTTGATATACCGCTAAATAAAATCAAACAAACATTATTATTATTATTATTATTATTATTATCATTATTATTATAATATATTTCCTTTGATTTCTAGTGTAGACACTTTCTTGATCCCGTCCAGAGACCTAAGGTCAGAAATGACATTTTCCACAGAGCAATTTAAAAAGAAAACAAGAAAAAACATATTTTACATAGATAAAGCCCTTCGTAAGATGTGGGCTATACTCGTTAGAACAATATTTTTTTTTATTTCTTTAAGGCATGGGCTTCCAGGAATCCCTTCAATACGTCTACTGGAATTTTTTTTACAAAAATCCGAGGGCTCCAACTACAACGGAGATTGTTGATGTTCCCATGTGCCACATTTTTGAGATTTCTATTTCAAGGTCCTTGTATTTTGATAGCTTTTTTGAAGATCTTCAAAGATACATTGCAGTCTGCAGGGACTGCCATATCAATAAGGAGGCACTTTTTTTGTTTGCTGTCTCTAATAACAATGTCTGGGCGGTTAGTTTTGATTGTTCTGTCTGTGTGCATTGGGTAGTCCCATGAAATTGGAACAGGTCCTATATCCGTAACCGGGTTTGTGTGGTG